ACCTGTGAGCTTGTTTGTTTGCTAAGATAATTTCACTGGTTAATGAGGGAACGAGTAACCTCACTCGACTCGTTTATATCCTTTTCCCTCCCCTCCTTTTGGCCCCCCGATTTTTCTGGCTACATATGTGTGTGTGTGTGTGCATGTGTGTTTATGTGTATGTGTGTGCATGTTTCTTTTTATATCTCCACGTGAGTACGTGTATCATGTTTTTTTTTTTTAAATATTTAATTGTATACGGATCGAATCAGTCACATTTTTCTTCTCTGTTTCTCTCTCTCTCTCTCTTTCTATTATCAATGCTGGTCATCTTGATGAGCCGGTGTAACGTGTATCGGGTGATCCGATTCAGCGTATCATTCGTCGGGATGTGTTGATAATTTTGATTGCTAATGTAGTCACTTCAACTCAGATATTGCACAGTTCTGTGTTCCTGTACTCAAAATATTGTTATTTATGGTATCACTCTGTTTTCTCTCTCTGTCACCCTCAATCGCTGTTGCTATTTTTTTGCTGATCCTGGTGCGATATACTCAGCCTTCATGACACTTCTGTAATCTTGTCCTTTAAATCTTCTAAATTTTATTTCCCTTTTCAAGTGTTTTTTTTTTTTTTTTTTGGTAAAGCAAAAACGCATTGTGTGAGCTAGGTCTGTATGTGCGTGTGCGTTCGTCTATGTTCATATATGTATGTATGTTTGTGTGTGTGTGTGTATGTGTGCGTGTATGTGTATTTTTCGAATAACTGAAGTCAGGGAGGCTTGGAAACTGAAATTTTTTAAATATACACCATAAAAGGCAGTATAAGCCGGACGTTAGCACCCAAGTCCACCTTGTAAATTCCCACATCTGGCCTGCTTGGTCTGCGAGCTTAACTCGAAATTCCGGTTAAAATCAGGATGAAGCAAATCACAAACTCGAGATTACGGGGATTTTTGGCCATCAAACAATGTTTTGGTCCAAATTGCAGAATCAAACTATGTACTCAAAATTTTCGTTTTTGATGATCGGCAAAACTACACTGTGTTTTGTCTTGATTGCATTGCTTCCAAACATAAAACTAAGAACCGGATAAGCTCTGAATTTGAAATTTTGGTGTTTTTCATGCACTGGAAAAAATTAAGTAACAGAGAGCATGAGCCTTCATCGCGGGTGTTTTCCCCTTGGAGCTTAACGCCTAAAACGCATAGTTTCGCGCCTAATTCTGCTGTGTTTTCTGCTACTGCTGCTGCTGTTTATTATTATTTCCTCGCTCTGCTCTTACTTATTATTATTACCATTTTGCAAGACTAATTTTGTTGCTCTTTTGTTTTTCTCCCGTGTTATTATTATTATTAATGATTCGCCCAAAATTTTTATGCGAGGTGTTTTTTTTTTCTTCTGGAAAGCAATCACATACCTCACGTTAGAATATGGGTGTGTGCTCCTCTCTCCGCGTCACTCATATTTTTTGTATTTACTGTGTTTTGTTGCCTTTTTTTTTCTAAAAATAAACAAGTTTATTTTTCAAAATTGTTTTTTAAAAAAAAATTATGCAGTACTTAATTTTAGTTTCTGAACGGAGCGGCGCAAGGATACAGGAACATCCCAATAAGATCACTAACATTACCCCAGTGATGATATTCTTGGTATCCCCACTGCGGAGTAGGTTGGAAATCCCGAAATTCTGGTGCTTTTCATGTGCTGGATGCATCAGATAATCATTACAAAGCATCGACGAAAGCTTTGGAATAAATTTTAGTAAAAATTATT